AGAAATATGTTTCAAGTTGGTAGCACTGAAAATTCTTTAGTGACATACTCTTTGTTACTGTCAATTGTCAATGTCACTGGCTTAGTAACAAAATATAAACAAATAAAGGTTTCAAATATTTAATTTAATAAAACAATTATCTCAATCTAAATGAAATGTTCCAATATTAATTAAGTTAAGTTATTTATTTAATAAGGAAAAAAAATTGTACATCATCATGGTTGGATCGTTGATGCTATGGAAGTTAATGCATTGTAAACGTTTCAAGAGATCTTCAAGGAACAATAAGAAAGGAAAGAATTTCGATATCCCTGTATCTTCTACAGATCCTTTAATTACTCCGAAAATAGAAGTAACCGAGGTAAGCAATACGTGTAGAGTTTGTCTTAAAAATGGTGAGATTCCAATATATGACGATAATCGTACACAAGATATTTCTGAAGCATTAATTAACTTCGGCGGTATAGAAATAACACCTGACGATGAATATCCAAAATTTCTATGCGAATCTTGCTATTCACTTTTACGAGGCGCTATTTTATTTAGAAAAACCGCTCAAGATTCCGATCAAATATTACGATGTCCTCAGAAAGAATCTGATAATGAAAGCATTAATGTAACAGACACATCTTTTGAATACGATATAAAGGAGAAACAGCGAAAAAAGTACATTTGCAAGAAATGCGATATCGATTTCGATACATTTACAGAATATAGTGAACACAGATTATCACAAGAGCATGAAAATTTGAGGCATACATGTCCGGTATGCAAGAATTCCTACAGTTCGTTATACTTTAAGAAACATATGGCTATACATACATTAGACTCATCATATGTATGTGATATTTGTGGTAAAAAGTTTATAGTAAAAGGTTTATTTACTCGTCATAGACAGACTCATTTCAACAACTTTCCGTACAGTTGTTCTTTATGTCCATATAAAGGTAGATTTAAAGAATCATTGAAGATGCATATGAGACACCATACTGGAGAAAAGCCTTACCAATGTACACATTGTCCTAGCAAATTTGTGAACAAAAGTAATTTAAATAAACACATGTTGATACATAAAGATGGTTTTGATTTTAATTGTGAGAATTGTGGTAGGGGATTTAATTACAAAAGATCTCTTGAACAACATATAAAAGTTGATCATAATGGTGTAAAAGACCATATTTGTAATTTATGTGGAAAAGCATTTGGGTATAGGAAGCAAATGATGAAACATCAATTAAGAGTTCATAAACGAGAGAAATTTAAAAGCGGCAGAATGCCGTTGTATCTCCAAATAGAAAATAAAGAACAATTACAAAATTAGACAAATAGAAGACCTTTAGAATAGTAAATAGATATGAAATCAATTGAAAAACTAAGTTAAATCTTCATGCAAATTGTACAGGTTTTTTTAAATACCTGCACGAACAGATTTTTCAAGATTTGGAACAGACATAGACTTGGATGAACATAGACTATAAGTAGTCTATATTATTAAGTAAAACTTAACTTAGGGCCTGTCCCACTACTCGCTGAGAGGCTCAGATAGCTTAAAAATGTTGACCATCAGAAACATAATCTGTTATTTTCATCACACTTTACATGTTGGATTGTTATCAGACACTTTACAATTTGGTAGGCCAGGCCCTTAGTAAGCTAAGTTTAAATAAATTCCATGCCGATGAAGTCACAGGTGCAAGTGTTTATTATATACAAATTATATTGTTCATATATATAGTTAAGTTATAGTTAATTATTTCACTGTATAACATATTTTCTATAATCAATGTTTATGAATATAGATTTAAAGCAGAAAGTGTTTATATTGTAGTTCCAATCCATCTGGACAAATAATTTAAGTTAAGAAACCATTATTTTGTAATCTATAATAATATTATAAAGATGAAAGATTTTAGAAATTCTTTCACCGTTAAAAAGGTTTTTTATCTGTGACATGTTTATTTCTATTTTTAAAATTTCACACAAGCAAAGTCGCCAGCAAGTTAGTTATAGATAAACCACAATCAGCATATGGTTTCTGGTTGGGTTTTACGTTTTTGGTTGCAGTAATTATTGTTACAAAACCAGCTACATATAAACTATACAACTGTACATAACTAGATATGAATAAATTATTATAAAATGAGATAAATGCAGTTAACATTTGTAGAAATTTCTATTTTGTTGTAAAAAGGAAAGATTTGTAATTCTCGTATGTAATAATAAACTCAAAAAAACTATATATCGATTTTATTCTATCACCATTAGAAGTTATGTTATTACTAACATGGGTTATATTCTTCTTTTGTTTATGAGCAAACGATGACGCGAGTAAAACCTAGTATTTAATAAGTATTATCCTTTTGTTTGAAAAAGGGAGTAAATAAAAAAGACATTTAATTCTATTATTTATTCATGTCTTACATACTTAAATAGTAAGTGAAGTTTACGTCAAAACATTAACTTAAGTTATTATTGCCAGCTACCACTGCTCGTATTACCATAGCCATCATTACCTTGGTATCCACTTGTATTACCATAATTGTTATTACCAAAGCCGCTTTGATTATTAAATCCGTTTCCATAGGAATTACCTTGGTTACCAAAACTGTTAAATCCTCCTCTATTGCTGAAACCACCTCTATTTCCGAAACCTCCTCTATTTCCGAAACCACCTCTATTTCCGAAACCTCCCCGATTCCCGAAACCTCCACGATTGCCGAATCCTCCCCTGTTGTTGAAACCTCTATTTCCGAAGCTGCTTTGATTGCCAAACCCTCCCCTATTGCCGAAACCACCTTGATCTCCGAAACTCCCACTACCAAAGTTCCCTCTGTAACTATTCGTGCCCCAACCTCTGGTGCCCCTCTTTGCCGCATCCGTTCTAAATGTGGGCGCGCTCACGTCTCGTTGTATGTTATAATCACCCGCATCAAATACACAAAGTGATTTAATACAATGTAATACCTGAAATAGAGAATGTTTCCATATTTAATTTACTAATCTCATGGGAAAGTTTAGATGGATGGATGTTAGAGTTTGTAGCGTGAACGGCGGGATTTCGATGAAATTCGGTATAGAACACATAGGCTACTCACTTTTTTTATATTCTACGCAGGCGAAAGCTGATACTATTATAAAGAATAGATTTGTATTTTTGTATATATAAAAATAAAAAACTATTAGGCAGATTCAAAAACGTCTTTCACCAGTTTTATGTTCAGTGTGTGTAATGTTTTTTTTATTATTTTTAATTTCACGTATGAAGTTGCGAGCTACAGTTATATATAAATGCGATAGTTTAGATGGATGGATGTTAGTTTGCCTAAACTGCTGAACGAATCTTGATGAAATTTGTCATAGATGTAGAGGATAGTCTGGAACACATGGCTACTTACTTATATTTTTTAATATAGTAGTAAGATTTATCGTTGGAATATCTTTTGAGAATATAGTTATCGTATATGGGTGCAAGGAAGTTGAAATTTCCTCATATGTATTTGCTTTTAGATTACTTTTTTTATTATTTTTATTTTTCTACACACATGTAATTTTACAATGCTCCGATAAACAAATTAGACAGATTCAAAGTCACAATTTTAATCACGAGACCGAGGAAGAAAAGTTCCATAGCGATTGGATACTTTGGGTATAACTGCTGCCTATGCAAAGTATAACTGCCTTTTACTAAGTTACCTTTTTCTCAACATTAGAGAATTCCAGTGCAGCATCAGGAGTAGCCGCAGCTCTTTCTACCAGTTGTTCCACAGCCGGTCTGAGAGCTACTATAAGGGCAGCTGTACGCGGACTCATATTGAAGTTTAACCAATTATCTAAACGGACAACATTGTCCACCTGAAATATAACAATTTGAAATAATTTGACGTTAATTCTAAGAAAATTAAAGAAATTTGACTGACATAATCCAATACCGCTTACAAATTGTCGAATTTGAGGCAAGGTGAAACAAAATTTGTCCCTTGGCATGGACTAAAGGCTAAAAAGGGGATTCTTATATCATACTGTAGCTTCACTAATGTTATAAATTTACTAATTATAACATTAGTGAAGCTATATTATTATAAATGCGAAAGTTTAGATGGATGGATGGATGGATGTTTGTTAGAGTTTGTAGCCTAAACTGCTGAACGGATCTCGATGAAATTTGGTATAGATGTAGAGTATAGTCTGGAAGAAAAGAAAGGAGAGTAAACAGCTACCTATTAAGCTAGCTCGTACCACCTTTCGACTGCATCGTCACCTCCTTTAGGTGGGAT